TTTGAACTTGGGTGTTGACAATAAACCAATTCTGATGTCGAGTTGTCGCCCTTGGTTGGCCACGTCTAGGCTTGTCTTGGACAGTTCTAACGGTGTTAAAATGTTTGTTCAAGCGTTAGATGGTTCCTCTGCAAAGATTTACGTGTCTTACAACAGCAGAAAGCGCAATTAAAGAATCTATCAGACACACAGCCCTTTTATTTTCTGAATTTATCATTTTTAAAATTTTGAAAACAGGGGAAAAAGGTATCCAACCTTTAAAAAGTACAGAATTTTATAGTGTGTTAGATGTGTTTGCATATTGTCTACGTGATGCAAAGCAAATTTTGTGTGTAGAAACCGTTGATTTCAACACAGACCGAGAGAAATCAATACCAACACTTTGTTCACGCACTACTTCCGGTTTATGATTTCTTTGGACTGCTCTAGCACAAAAAGTCTCATAAGTCCCACAAGTCATACTTTAAACTTTTACTGCAATTCTGAAGCTATACCGAAAATTTGCGTAATATAATGGGTGTGACAGAACTTTTATTGTGGATTCTTAATTCTGCCAGAGCTGTTTATACATTTCCACCTATTGATGTCTTGGAAAGATAAAATGAATGTAAAATTTCATAATATTAAGATCATATTTTATTGCCCCTGAGGGAAATTTTCTGTGGCTTTACAGGAGTGGTAAAAACTAATGTAAATATTCATAGAAATTATGTATTACTTTCATAAAAGAATTTCAATATGAAGAGGAAAATATTAGCTGACAATCTTGCAACATGTCAGATCAGATGCATTTCTCAAAGCACATGCAGGGATTTAGTGGCAGTGACACCGGTTCTGTGTGTGTTAGGACAACAGACGTGAGGTATATCTCTGTTTCTGGTCCTATGGACTGGGCCCACAACTTCTATAGTGGGAGCTAAAAACAAAATGTAATCAGTATGATTATTTTTAATCCTTTGAGCCCTTGCCACCGGTACACATTGCCCGTTTGCCAAGCTACTATTCAGTGGTGAGCGAAACCCCATCCCCAACTCTGCCTGCCTGAGACAAAATGCGTACGGAAAACAGTGTTTACTACACAAGGCATTACTGATTTTTTAAAAAGATCATCCTGAATGAGATGCGGGTAATGACAAGGACTACCCTAAGTGGGATATGGAATGTGATTCTGACCATCACATGAAGGTTAGTAATATATCATTATGGAGCTCAGGCAGAGGGGTATGGTAGCCTCAGAAAGTCAGTGCTCAAAGAGTTAATCATGCCCGTTTTGTGTAAAAGTTGTATACTTTGTTTGAAACAAATTGATGTTAGTAATGTAATCAGATGATTTGGTTATTTATTACTAAAAACTTGGTCTGCTTTGTGAATAATGTAAAGAAGTTGTTATTTTGTTACTGCGTCGTTGACTAAGATGAGTGTCTTCTCCTCAGTCTCTGCGTGAGGTTGACTACGTGGTGAAGGAAAAGAGCTTTGTGGAGAAGATCTTGGACACTGAATTTTTGGAACTTACAGACAAAGGAATTTTTTACAGTGGTAAGAGTTTTTTTTTTGGCAACAGATTTTTCGTTGTCAGTTTTTATGTTGATTCACACAAGATTTGAAATGCATGCTAACTTTCCTGCTCTTTTGACGTCTTAGGTAAATCTGTGGTTAAATTCAGAGCTAGCAGTTGCCACATTTGTTCGTTGTGTGCATGGTAAGTAAGCATGTAACATATAGCTTAACTGTTTATTTGTTAACTGTGTTAACTGTATCATACCTCCCCTCCCCCCTCCCCGCTCCATCTCCCCCCCCCTCTCTCTCTTTCTATTAGGTATTGAATAATAACATAATACAGATTTGAATTTGATGAAACAGAGTAGGGAAGTTTTGAGTGGAGTTTCTCCATGTGTCTGCGGGGATACTGTATCCTACTCAACTGGGATTGACCCCGTTAAGCAGCTGATCTCCTAAATGATCGAATTGTGTCGATGGGGATGTAAAACACATTGTAAAATCTTCTGTACTATTTCTTACAACATATACTTTTTCTCCCCTAACAGCCAGTTTTGTTATCTCTTCTAGATAACAGCCTAGACCATGGCCAGTCATTTATCTCCCCTAGATAACTACCAGTCTTGTCATCTTCCCTAGATTACAGCCTAGATAACAGCCAGTCTCATTTTTCTCCCCTAAATAATGGCCACTCACTAATTTGTCTCCCCTAGATAAGGTCCACTCTCATTTATCTCCCCTAGATAACGGCCACTCATTTGTCTCTCCTAGATAACGGCCACTCATTTATCTCCCCTAGATAACGGCCACTCATTTGTCTCTCCTAGATAACGGCCACTCATTTGTCTCTCCTAGATAACGGCCACTCATTTATCTCCCCTAGATAAGGTCCACTCTCATTTATCTCCCCTAGATAACGGCCACTCATTTGTCTCCCCTCACTCATTTATCTCCCCTAAATAACGGCCACTCATTTGTCTCCCCTAGATAAGGTCCACTCTCATTTATCTCCCCTAGATAACGGCCACTCATTTGTCTCCCCTAGATAACGGCCAATCATTTATCTCCCCTAGATAACGGCCACTCATTTATCTCCCGTAGATAACGGCCACTCATTCGACAACATCCTGTTCTACGGCAACGAGCTGACGCTGGTGGTGTTTGACACGCTCTTCTTCTGTATCGTGGACCTCATCTTCCAAGACTTTGTCCTGGCCGGCGTCATCACTTTCCTGGCAACTGAGGTGAGGCAGCTGGTCCTTGCAGCAGCATCGCAGTTGCCTACATAGTTGTTTAACCCTTTGAGCCTCCTGAGGTTACCGTGCCCCTCTGCCTGAGCTCCTGAGAGCTATATTTCTAACAGCCCATAAGATCATCTGAATCACACTCCATATCCCACTCAGGATAGTCCTCTTCATTACGAGCATCTATTTCCGAAAAATCTTCAAAATAACCAGTAATATCCTGCATAGTAAACAATGTTTTGCTGGTGAATTTTGTCCCTGGCTGGCTGGGTGGGAAATAAGGTCTCACTTATCGGTGTACTGGTGGCTAGGCATACGAGCAGTTACATGCACCACCGGTCTACCAGTGGCAAGGACTCAAAGTGTTAATGTTATTCTGAGAAAATGAAAAAAAAAAGAAGAGTGGGTGGTTGGCACATGTTCTGGTGTGGTTTGTTCATTCTTTCTTGTCAAACATGTCTTTTCTTTCTTTCTACTCCTTCATGTGTGTGCAGGAAGAAATAATTTATGTGACCTCAATCTCAATCCTAGCTGTTGTTGAGCCATTCCTGGCATAGCCTCTGTGGAGGCTTGTTGCATGTTTGTTTTTATATGTGTGTGCTTGTGTGTGCTTGTGTGTGTGTTTGTGTGTGTGTATGTGCGTGTGTGTATGTGTTCATTTCATGGTTGTTTTTTTTTGAGCAAGTGTTTTACGGCGCTCGCAACTGCATAAGGTCATACAAGCGAGCAGGACACATTAAACTTTTTCAGTTTGTAGGAAATTTTGGATTTTGCCCGTGTGGTGGCTGAAACCTATTCTTATCGATTTTAGACCACCAAGAGATCTTTAACTTGCGCAACTTGCACACGGGCCCTCCAAGATTTTTCGGCCTTGTCCGAGAAGGCTAGGTGTAGATCTTTCCTAGCAGAAGATCAGGGGTGTGGTTGAAAGACAGCAGTAAGAAGGAGCCAAGGAGTAGCAGTAGAAAGGCTGCAGAAAGAGTCAGGAGCCCAGAGGAGGGGGCAAAGGAGGTGAGGGGGTGGGGGCTGAAAGAGGAGATGAAAGCAGACGACATGTTTTCATGTTTACTATGTGGCAGGACCTCCAGAAATGTATTTTTGCTTGTTTGTGTATTTGTGTCTTTACAATGCTAGTGTAGATCTACTTCAATATACAAACTTTTGTCTCATAAGTCTAAAGACGTTGAGACGTATCTATTTTTTTCAATCTCTTTTTTCTTCTGACTGCTTTTTATGTATTTCAAAAGATTTCATTTGGGATAATCCAATTATTCCCACTCTAAGAAACTTTTTCTACGTGTCTTGAAATTTTGGTTCTAATTTTTGTGTTTTCTACAACTATTCACAACTATTCTCTTCATTCTTAATCTGTAATTTGTTCTTGTTTTTTTTTTCTGAAATATTTTTTTGTTTGAAAATCTGAAATGCATTATAAAGGAAAATCCTTTCTATTTCAGCTCATCTGCCAGGCAAGAGAAATGGGCGGGAAGAAAAACCTGGCCAAGAAAACTCTGGTTGATGAACGGTTCCTCATCTAGACGTCGCAACATTCAAACCTCATGTAGACATCCTCACGTCAGCACCTTTTAGCAGGAGTGAAGTGGGTGGAGGGAGATGGGGTGGGGGGGGGGGGACTGTATGTTACCGATTGCACAGACTTTCATGGTGTTCCTTGGTTCACACTGGACGGAGAGGAAGAGGAATGATTCCACTTCACTCCCCCATCATCATCATCATCATCATCATCATCATCATCATCATCATCATCATCATTATCATCATCCTTTCTTTTCGCCAACCGGAGTATAGGTCACCAACAAGAACTCTTGATGTTCTATCCTGGACTCCACGTCTGTCCAGCTGTATTCCATCTCCTTTAGGTCTGAATCCACGGCCCTCTCCAAGTACTGTTAGGCCTTCCTCACGTTCTTTTTCTATGTGGCTTCTATTTTGAGGCTTAATGGGTTTGTTATTGGTTTTCTTATGGACTGTCCAATCCACTTCCATTTTCTCTTTGATTTCTATATCTTTTTCTGTTAATTAGTTTGCTCTCATAGTTGAATTAGTTGTTCATTTCTTATTGTGCTGTGCCAAAGTATGTTTTAGGATTTTTCTGGAGCAGCTGTTAATGACTGCTTGTAGCTTTTTAGAAGTTTGTTCACAAAATTTCTGTGTTTCTCCCTCTCCCAGACCTTCCTAGATTGTCTTGGAGTAAACATGTGGTTGTTGTTTTTGGTCAAGGGCATGAATTTTGCTCTGTTTCTGAAAAAGTGTAGGATATTTTCCACCAGCTGTAACTGGTTTTGACTCCCAAGTTACCCGGTCGGCTGAGAGTTGAGCAGGGACAATGAGGTTCGACAGTTGTGTGCCTGGTAAGAAAGCATGTTGCCCACGGTGAGTGGGCGTTGTGTTTCTTGTTCCTATCCCCGCCTCCCGCACAGCGGAACAACGTACATTCCTCACAGAGATTTCCACAGATCAAAATTGTTGTTGACAATTGCGGTTGCTTTGTTTTGGTGAACAACCATGTGTTTTTGCACGGCGATCCGTCCACTTTATGGAAAGATTTTTGACTGGTTTTATTGTTTGATGATGATATCATTATTTGCTACTTAGAGCCAATTATAGGCACTTGTGATTTTTGGATGACTTTTTAAAAAAGGACCTGATGTTTTGTGTATTTGTAATATCATCATGCTGTTGTGTGATACAAGCTGAAGTGAAAAACCCCCCCAAACAAAACAGTACTTTTTCTGTAAGCTTGTAGTGGGATTTGCCTTTCTAGAGTACCGGTAACACTAGTTACAGTTAAATGTTATTTCTCTCCTCTTTAATCTTAAATCTGTTCATCATTGGGTTGGCTTCATGGTCTCTGAGTGGTACAAATGCCAGGTTTAAGAAAACCCTTGCCATTATGAAATGTTTGCTGACTCAAATGTTTGTTCGTGAAGTGACTATCTGCCAGAAATGTCTCCCAGTGTTGGTTCTGTAGCTTCTCAAGTTTTGCTCAAGCTGGAAGACGGACCCATCATATGGGTTGGATGCTTGTTTGAGAGTTCTGCGTGCATCATGAAGGGGATTTAGCTTTTGTAAATGTTGATAACATGGGATGTTATAAGGCGATTGATTTGTAATATATCAGTTTTGATGACTTTGATTTTTGATGTGCAGCAGTTTACAGTATAACACGGATAGCTCGAATTCATCGGGACTGGACTCGGTAGTTCGAGGGATCCGTAGTTCGAGGGATATCTTACAAAGATAAAGAAGAAAGAAAAACCGCGGGACTGAAGGCACAGTACGATGGATGCGTGATTTCGAGTCTTTTGTGTTCGACCTCTCCGTACTATACAGTGGAGTCGACTTGTAACGAGTTCTGAAATAACGAGAAGTCTGTTATAAAGACACTATTCTAAAACCCCGTTATTTTCCCCAAACTCCTAGATGAGGATTTTGTAAATAAAACACTGCTATTGCACTATCAGACAAACATGTCTGTCGGTTATAGCGGAATATTGCTGCTGCTGTGCTCAGCGCACAATCCATTTATACATATATTTATATGTAAAAACCTCGCCGATTGAGAAACTTGTCGTTGATCTAGCGAAACAAAGAATGGGAGAGCCCACGTGTGCCAACAATGAAGGCCGGAGTGAGTGAGTGGGGAGGGTGTGGCATGTGCTGACAAGCAGAACGCATCGTGTGATGGGCCAGCCTTGTCTAGATTATCTTGCCTACCATGCCTCTTCACTTCTCCAATGCCGGGATGGAGAGGTCAACGTGCTGTGATGGATGGAGCGAATGTATGACGTGTGCAAGCACAGGGTGTGGTGGGGTGGGGGGAAAGCACAGCGGGCGAGTTAGCCTGGAGCCCTTTCTTTCTGATTGCCATCACCGAGCTGTCAACATCGCCAGTGTTAGAGGAAGAAACCTGATTCGATTTTTGATCAAGTAAGACCTTGAGGTCATGTTGAACAAAATCATCATCAGAGGAGATAACAAAAAGGAATAACAGAACACCAAACTCATAGATTAGGCCTACTTTATTTTTCCCCTTGAATTTATTACTGGATCCCTTATAATGAGAATCCTGCTATAACGAACATTTCGTACCAGTCCCCTTCCTCTTGTTATAACTGGATTCCACTGTACTGTATTTTGTTTTTCCTTGTATTTAAAAATTCAAATTAACAATTTTGTTAGTGGTTCATTCAGATTCCATTGTTGGACAGTGGCAAAGTTTATGTAAGAAGAAATCTTTGTCTTTGATTCTCTCATGTGAACACTTGCCCTGACACATCTGCCAACACTGACACATAAACTGCTCGTAGAAATTAAGAAATACACGCTCAGATCTTTGCACAGGTATACTCATCAAGTCACACTCAACGTACAGTCTCTCTCTCTGTCTCTCTTTCTCACACACACACACACACACACACACACACACACACACACACACACACACACACACATGTAAAGAATGTTATACCGTGTGTTTCTAGATGGGTGACCTAGTCCAGGTTTATTGGAGTGTTACTCTTGTGTATATTCATCAACTAGGTGTTCCTTTTCTCATCACACATATCCGAGTAAAACATTTTGTCTGTACCAGTAGAATATTATTATTATGTATACGTATTTCAATATGACTGGAACACATCTTCACCTAATTGTAACATATTCTAACTTAACATTGTTTAAGTAGGGAAAAGAGAAATCCGTGCCTTTTTCATGTCAGTTTGTTTGGACAGACTATTTGTTTCTCATGCCATAATATGCTTGTATTTATGTGAATTGCAATTGTGAAAGTGTGACAGTTTCTTCAAAATTTGTATTGTCTCGACTGAGACCTAGAATCTACAACATATTTACAAAATGTTAAACTCTTCATTTCAATGCGAGAATGTTTTGCAAGTGTCCAGTTAGTGCAAGAGCATTTTGCAAGTGGTGTTTTTTTTGTAAATTTAAAAAAGAAAAAAAAAAAAGAAATAAGTTTGACAAGTATATTTTTTGAGCTGCACAGAAACCTGTGGAAAGTAAAATTGTGCTACTGTTATGTGTGAGCACACAACAATCAAATGTTGTGCTAAAAGGTTTTTTTTGTTATACCTCATTTCTTGGAACATGTGGAAGATTTTTCAATTTGCTTCCAGAACTCTCTATTCAGCAAACAGAGCGGTTGTGTTCTTGTCCATTATTTTTTGTGAATTTTAAAGATAAATGGGGTGTTTGCTTATGTATGAACTATAACTTACTTAGTAGTGGGTGGTTGGCAGGTGCTCTGATGTGGTTTGCTTCTTCTTTCCTATCAAGCATCTAACTCTCCTCCTTTTTTGTGAATGTAACTATCTTGTGAAACATCTATTCTTCAGCTCTTATTCGACCTTATAGTGTTGCAAGTGCCGTAAAACTCTTACTAACACTTAACTTACTTAGCATAATTGTGTGATATGACTGGTCCATGTGTAGCAGCGGAGTGTTTCTACCTCTGCTTCACTTCTGATAAATGCTCTTGTTGTGTGGTCTCAATGATTTTCTTTGCAAGTATACTCTAGCGTCTAGCATGCACACATAGCAAGATCGGGGGATATGGAAATCTTTTCGCTAGGTACAAGTTTTGGTATATGTACATATTTTAGATACAAAGAATGTACTACGTGAACGTAAAAGAAAAAATTTGGGGTCTGAAAATCTGTTTTCTATCATGTGCGTGTTTCGCAGTGTGTGTGCTAGACTTTATCATACTTTATGTACAGTGCTGTGAATCAACTCTGAAATTGTTGCAACAGTTGTTGCATGTAAACAAGTGAAACGAGAGTGTTAGAGTTGCTTGGAGAGTCTGTGGATTTATCCGTCCAGTGAACTTCTTTGTGAGATTTTCCTTAAAATTCATTTTGTGCCTTCTGTCTTATTATGATTTCTTATCGGATAGATTGTAATCTAAAAAACTTGTCAATAAAATGTATAAATTATTTATTGTACATTTCTTGTTAATAGTTTTCTTCTAATTATAAATTACTTATACATTTTGTCAGTTAAATATGCAAACACCACCACCACTTAACTACCACCACTAGCACCACCACCACCACCACCACCATCATCATCACAACCACAACACCACCACTAGCTCCACCACCACCACCACCATCATCATCACCACCACAGCACCACCACTAGCACTGCCACCACCATCACAACATCACCACCACACACCAGCGCCACCACCATCATCACCACAACCACTACAACCACCACTGCCATCACTAATGGTTCCAAAAAGCGCCAACGGGCGAGAACCGTGTAGTTGTGTACATGTATGAAGGAAATGTCGCTCCTACTTTAGACTTTACTCTTTTACTATTTCTCTTCTTATACCACTAGGTGTCAAGGGAACACGTAATTGTTGGACGTGGGCCAGGTGTATTGCTCTTGGGATTGTCGTATAATACAATAGTGCCTTTGAGGCGTTTCTTTGACTTCACCCATCTTTCTTTTTCTTGACCTTCCCTTTGCCCTGAAGCCATCAAATCGCATGTTGTAGACCTCAGTGGCTGGCTGTTGTGGCCCCATCCTCGTAAGGTGTCCAAACGACCTTGTTTCTCGCCTCTCGATATAAGTGCTCAGTTTGCCATTTGCTGTCTGATGTCTTCGTTTCCTTGTTCTAGCAATGTCGAAATCATTTATTTACTGACTTAAATGTACTCTTGCTGATTCTCGCTAGGCCTACTACATCGTGCATGCTAATTAGTCATTAGCTATGGTCTGATTTCTGTATAGCGTAAACAACTGTTGGAGATTGGCCCGTGTGCAATGGAAGACGGTTTGTATTTGTCATGGATATCACCTTTTCTGACTACTTAGAAACACTTTCTTTGGCTTTAATGGCGGTTTGGAATGTAGATACGAGAATCAGTCGACCAAAAAAAAAAGTAAAAAAGAAGAGGAGATATCAGTCATGGACATAATATTTCTGACTGCCTCATCAAAAATGATTTTTTTTGTGCAACATTCGACACAAATGGACGTAGCACTGCTGTTTAGAATAAAGACACACGCATAAGTTTTAGAAAAAGGTTAAATATTTTAAGAACATTTCTACCATGAGACTAGAGAAGAACACAAGGTCGAAAACTTGAGGAGAAACACTCATTTTCCGCACCGGTATCATACATTAGGCCCATGTTATGGTATTATACGTTGGAAGGAAACGGTATAATAAACCCTCAAGCTCTTGAAAATGTTGTAAAAAGTGATATTTTCCCTCTTAATTGTCCCACACCCCTGCCCGCCCCATACTCATCCCACAAAAATATGAAAGACGGGCTGATCAATGTCAAATATCCCTAGAACATGTAGTTCTCGTCTACTCATTTTTGTCAACGGACATCCACGTTGATGACATATTCTATTCTAGGCGAACAAAAATGCATCACCATCATGAAAATAATGTGTGCTTGCGAACCTATTGTGCTTCTCTCTCCCCCCCCCCCCCTCTCTCTGTATCTGTGTATATGTGTGTGTATGTGTGTGTGTGTGTGTGTGTGTGAGTGAGTGTGCGTGTGTGTGTGTGTGTGTGTGTGTGTGTGTGTGTGTGTGTGTGTGTGTGTGTGTGAGTGAGTGTGCGTGCGTGTGTGTGTGTGTGTGTGTGTGTGTGTGTGTGTGTGTGTGTGTGTGTGCGCGTGCGTGCGAGTGTGTTTTCGTGTGTATTTTGAAAATATGGAAGATAACACTATCATACACAGATATTCACGCTTTTGCTCGAGAGAGAGTAGAGAAAGAGAGAGAGAGAGAGAGAGAGAGAGAGAGAGAGAGAGAGAGAGAGAGAGAGAGAGAGAGAGAGAGAGGGGGGGGAGTGAGAGAGTCATTATTATTTCAGGCAATGGGTAGCCTACCTACTAGCGAATGCGGTTGAATAGCTTTATTCTCCAGAATAATGGAGCAATGTTCAAGCAGATTATGTCTGGTTCACCTACAGCATGAATTTCACACCCACGCGCCGAAAAGTGCACAAACAGAGGCTGTTATTTGTTAATGTTAATTAAGCGTACTAGGCCTACCAGCTTCCAAGGACAGCTACACGTGACTCAATTTTAGCATAATCAGTGTCAGTGACCGCCCCAGTATCTGAGTGAACCGGTGGGATCTGGATGCAGAGAATGTCCGGGGGATGCGGAGAATGTCCGGGGGCTCCGGTGGTCTAGAGGTTAGGGTGTTCGCATCTCATTCAAAAGGTCCCGGGTTCGAATCCGGGTAGCACTACCCCGTGG